AGTGCATAAGCCAATGTGGTGAAGAAAGCTGATGGTGCCTCACTATCAAAAGATATAGTGTCTGGGGTCTTAAAGACTGTAGTTAAACAAGCATCCATCTAGCATGGAAGCAACAAAGCCCACACGGAAGAAGTACACCAGCCTGTGTGATCATCAGGTGTAGACAGGAATAGGTAAGAGAAGTTCACAAACTAGCAACCAAATTGACATGAAGGGACATAGACAAAGTGCAGACTCAAAACCCACCTGTAAGATGACTGAACAGTCCCTCACAGAAGGGCCACACAGAAGGGATCATATATCCAGGATGCAGTATAGCATTGTTGAACCACATAACTATCCTCTAGTTATTTAATATTTACTCCCCCTATTATTATGGGCTCACTTTTACCTCATTAATCCTGTTAGACCTGTATTTGTTCATTTGTATAATTAAGATTATTCAATGAAGGAAATCCAAGATAGGTAAACCCTTCAGCAATAGTAAAGGGAGTAATGATTCCCCGAGTGTATAGAAAGAGGGGAGGAGGAGGGAAAGGGGGAACTGATAGTAATGATGACTATATAGCTCCACTCAAAGAGACAGCAGGTGAACGGAGTACAACAGGGGGAGGGGGAGGAGAGGGGGTGGTATAACAGTAATAACAACATTTAATATAACAACAAGAATTCTTGGGGGATAGGGTTGGGGAGGGCAGGGATAAAGGGGAGCTGATACCAAAGAATGCAAGAAGAAAGAAAATGCTTTGAAAATGATGATGGCAACAATTGTAAAATCATGCTTGACCTAATTGAATTTTGGATTGTTATAATATCTGGAAGAGTTCCCAATAAAAAAATGGGGGGAAAAGTACAGGAACTTACACCCAGATCTCTCTCCACCCCTACCCCATCATAAAATGTACCTCCTCATTCTTCCAGGGTGACAAAGTCTGTCTTACAAGCATTTTATTGTAAAACTGGACTCCTACCACCCTATAAGCTTGATGGTTCCCTGATCTTCTTTTGGGTCCCCAAACTCAAATAATATTGAAGAGGCACTTGGTTGGAATCCTTCGAGGATGCTATAACTTCCATTTTGACGTAGCATAAATCAAATAGCACAGAATTCTCTAGGGAAGGATTAGAATGATGAAAACACCCCTTCATAAGTGTATGGACCTATGAGATCTTTTAATCCAGTCTACCAAGCAATGAGGTAGAGGCCTGTCTAGAGGCCATGAATGATTTTTCACCCCCTTTATATGTATATCTTTAAAATTACTTCAACAAAGGAGACCTCAACTCAACTGGGGTTAGTTTCTCAAGATGAGAGAGAAGGAGACGATCATTCAGCTGCTGCCATACGACACTGTGGTAAGGTCACCCCAAATCAACAGACATGCCTACAAGAGTGATTAGCAATAAGCAAACCCTACTGGAAATCCGAGTCGAGGGGAAAAGAGCAAATATGTCTCAGAGAAATGTGATTGCATTTCTATCAGTGGGGAAACCAGGAAGAACACCTCCCATCAGGAAAACAACACAAAACAAAAACACTTATTGTTGTCATTGTTAGGTGCCCTTCAATCTGTTCCCATTTATAGTGGCCTTATGCACAACAGAATGAAACCCCGCCTGGTCCTTTGCCATCCTCACAATTGTTTGTACGCTTGAGCTTGTTGCAGCGAATGTATCAATCCTTCTTCTTGGGGGCTTTCTTGTTTTTGCTGCCCCTCTGCTTTATGAAATATGATGTCTGAGATAGTTTATTGTGCCAGCCTGGCCGATAAACACAAGTGGGATTAACTGAAGGGCAGAGAGATAAATGCCTTGGTGAGCCTCGCCTTTCTTGTCTCTCGCTCTTTGATCATTGGTGGGACGCCCAGCCTGTGGACTGTGTCACTGTAAGTTGAGGTCCCTTTAAGACATCTCTGGAGCTGGGGACTGGCAGTTGGTGACTTGGCTGGCAGTTGGTGTCCTGCCTTGTGATTGGCTGCTGTGCTGACATAGCCTAGCTCTCTCTATAAATAAAGGAAGATCTGGCAGCAGACTAGACTTGAAGGACTGCTAGTCTCTCACAACTCTCTGTCACGGGAGTGAGTTGCATTGAGCCATTTGTAGTGCTTTATAATTTAACTGTTTATTCCTTGTATTATATATTTATCTGTATATGATTTAACAGTTTCTTGTTATATATCTAATTATCTTTATAAATAAATATATTAAATTATCAGCAATTTGGTTTTATCTCTCTAGAGAACCCTGTCTAACACAATGTCCTTCTCCAGGGACTGAACTCTCCTGACAACATGTTCATGTTATGTAAGATGAAGTCTTGTTATCCTTGCCTCTAAGGAGAACTCTGGCCGTACTTCTTTCAAGACAGATCAGTTTATCCTCGGATCAGTCCATGGGACTTTCAATATTCTTCTCCAGCATCACAATTCAAATGCATTGATTCTTCTACAGTCTGCCTTACTCAATGTCCAACTTTCACAAGCATATGATGCAGTGGAAAATATAGAAAAAATCATGGCTTAGGTCTGGTGTACTTTCGTCCTCAAAGTAACATCCATGCATTTCAATACTCTAAAGACGTCTTGTGCAGCAGATTTACCTAATGCAATGCATCATTTGATCTCTTGACGGCTGCTTTCATGAGCATTGACTGTGGATCCAAACAAGACAAAATCCTTGACAAATTCAACCTTTTCTCCATTTATCATGATGGTACTTATTGGTCCAGTTGTGAGGATTTTGGTCTTCTTGACATGGGGTCGTACTCCATACCGAAAGTTGCGATCCTTGATTTTCATTAGCAAGTGCCTCGAGTCTTTTACACCTTTAGCAAGCAAGGATGTGCTATGTGCTATCTGCATACTGCAGGTTGTTAATAAGCCTTCCTCCAATTCGGGTGCCACATTCTCATTTCCTCAGCATATAGATAGAATAAGTATGGTGAGAGGATACAACGCTGTCACAAACCTTTCCTGATTTCAGACGATGCAGTGGTCCGTTCTTCTGTTCTGGTACTATGTTCCTAATTGGGCACTTGACCTAGTTCCCATCCAGTCCCTAGTGACACAGGCCATGAGCTACAGACTCCTGGGACTTTAGACTCTGTCCTTGGAGGTGCACAGCATCCTTCATGGGCCACGCCAGAAGGATTCAATGTGGAAACTCTACTAAGCAAAAAGGGCTTTCCTTCAAAGTCATCTGTAAAAGAGTTAAGGAACATACGCCCTTGGACTTGAGGCTGCAACACCTTTGTCTGAGAAGACACAAGTGAGTATTATCCCAAGGTTATGGAATTGGCTGTCGCTGGACTTTGTTTTGAATCTCTTGCTCTGAGGGTGCCCAATGAATGGTGGCCCAGGACTATCATATATTTATAATGGTAATGCCCTCCTTGCTTTAAAAAAAATCATTGTATTGGAGGCTCATACAATTCTTATCACAATCCATACATACATCCATTGTGTCAAGCACATTTGTACATTTGTTGCCATCATCATTCTCAAAACATTTGCTTTCAACTTGAACCCTTGATATCAGCTTCTCATTTTCCCCCTCCCTTCCTGTTCCCTCCTCCCTCATGAACCCTTGATAATTTAGAAATTATTATTATTTTGTCATATCTTACACTGTCCGATGTCTCCCTTCACCCACTTTTCTGTTGTCTGTCCCCCAGGGAGGGGGTTATATGTAGATCCTTGTAATCGGTTCCCCCTTTCCACCCCACTCTTCCTCCACCCTCCCAGTATCGCCACTCTCACCACTGGTCCTGAAGGGCTCATCCGCCTTGGATTCCCTGTGTTCCTTGCTTTCTTATGACATGCATTAATCTGGTAGGCATGGTTCTGCCTTTGTGAATGAGTGTTATTGAAAGGGTTGCCCAATCACCAAGCCCCATTGTTTGTGTCAATAGTATCCAGTCACTTAAAAGTTTAATCTTTGCAAATCAACAATTCATGTATTTTGGTCTAAAAAGCTGGGCTATATTTGCATAATTTCCTTTATTCAATAGTGTTTTAAATTTTATACCTTTGGCTAAATTAATGACGCTATCAATCTAATTACCTTACATCCCAGGGGATGATTGATAATGTTTTCTACCATAGAACCATAGACATATATAAACCATAGCTATATGAATGGATGTGGGGCCCTCATTTAATTCTAGTCCCAATATAAGAACAATTATTTCTTACGATATAACCGTACGCTTTACTCGCCCATATAAAGAGATCGTTGAATTTATCACACACTTTGATAAAGCAACCAGATGTTATCCAGCTATCAGAAAGAATAGACTCTGGGGTCTTAAAGGCTTGTCTTCAAACAAGCAACCATCTAGGTGAGGCCTCAACTAAGTCCACACAGAAGTACACCAGCCTGTGTGAGCTAAGGTTTGTAAATAATAACATCCAAATCTGAAGTGCAGAAATGTGAATCGCCTTGGCATCAGAGAGCAGTGTAAAGTCAATTGTGGCGGATGTCGTTATGCTAAACTGTAATACCTTGTCATGTGCTCGCCCCTTTTGGCCCATTTTAAGGTTCTTTCCGTTTTTACTATTTTCTGCTTTCTTTTTGACTGCGGTTTTTCTATGATTTGTCTAGTCATTATTATTGGTTTTGTTTGCTTCTTGTTTGTGTTTTGTGTGATTTTCTGTATATGAAATCCAAGAGAGATAGATCTATAGAGAGAGTAACTGGATTGATAATTACAAGGGACATGGCAAGGAAGGATGGGTGGATATGTGCAGTATGAGAAGAAAAGGTTCAGCAATTGATTGTGGTAACGATTGCACAACTCTTCTTAATATGACTGATCAATTAAATTGTATGACATGTGAAGTATGTGCCAATAAAGCTATTTTTAAATAGAAGTGTTTGGACATAGAAGCTAAGCTGAAAAACAATAGCTTCACAATGTGATACTTTTTTAATAGAGCTTTCTGCGAATTTGTAGTGGTATTTTTGACATATATATTATTTTTTCATTCCATGTTTTTCAGGATCTTTTGAAGCCCTTGTATACACACCAAACCAATTGCTGCGCTGACTCCGGCTCAGAACAGGTGGGCTCCGTTGGGTTTGTATGGCAGTGACCTTTCCAAAGCGAAGCACCAAGCCCATTATTCTAAGGTGCCTGTAGGTTTGAAGTGCCAGGGGTGTAACTGTCTGCACTACCCAGGGATCCCTGTGTGCATGTGCACAGGGTGGGGTGCTATGGACACTGTAAAGCACTGGACACCTATTGGTTATTATGCTGTTAAAATTTTTTTTAGACTTTTACTCAAAATGCATCACTGGACAGCCGCGTCAATGTGGCCCTCTCGCTGCCATTTGAGGCAAGTCCTTGATGGTTTACGGCTTCTCGTCACTTGGCTTCTCTGTGGACATCACTGTGACTGTAACTCTATCAAATGTAGGGCCTGACGTTAGTACTCCAAGTCCAGCATAGGTGAAGTTTCGTTCACCGGAAGTCCCTGCCTCCTGTTTTTCTGCCCAACTCCCTTGGGCCTCCACTCCTCTGGCTTCCCCTTCTCTGAGCCTTCCTTCGTCCTCTGACGCTGGCCTCGGTCCAAACCCCAGGGAAGGGTGATGAAGGGTGGGAGGAGGGGGTGGCGAGGCTGGGGGAGGGAATGGGCCGGTGGAGGCGGAGAGGAGTGTATCTCTCCTCCAGGGCTGCCTCCCTGAGCTCTCTGGGGTGGGGTTTCCACGGAGGCCCAGGAGCAAGAGGACAGCGAACCAAGTGCACTGGTCACTCGCTCAGAAGACTTCCTGTAGACTTCGAAAGCTGCCCATGACATCATTTTGCGGGGCAGCTCAGAAACAATAGGCGGGGGTGGGATGAAATAAACCAAATCTACCAAGCGACAAAGACGAGGGCCAGAGCAGGGGGCTGCACACAGACAGGGCCTGCCCTCCCTGGGCGCGGTGGTCCCCTCCTCGGCCTGCAGCCCCAGGCCCAGCGCCCCACCGCCCGCGCGGAGCCTGCTGCCTCTTGTCCACCCCCCACCCCGCGTGGTGACCTCTCCGGTGCGTGGACCACAACAGCAGACACACACTGAAAGTCATGTGACTTCCAAACGGCCCAGCCATCCAAGTTCAATACATTAGCAGCCAAAAATTTTAATCAGATATTTAATCTTTCCTCCCTGGAAGGGAGATTTGGTGTTTACTGTGGCTCACCGCCAGGTTAATCTCAGAGAAGAAAGATTGCCTGCCGAGGCCTCGGTGCTGGGAAGGCCCGGAGCAGGGAGTCTGGCTCTGGAGCCCTCCTTCGGCAGTAGGTTAGCCCTTGTCCCTCGTCACTCTCCAGTTGGCCTCAGTGCTCGCCAGGGACCAGACAAGGGAGCCCGGCATGTCATAAACTACCCTGACACGGAACAGCCAAGAGGTCTGCAGAAACCAAGGCTGTCTTCTCGAGGAAGCTGACGGTGCGGTTCTCTGCGTTCTCCCCCTGGTCGCTCACTCCATCTTCCCACCCCCTGACGCCTGCCTTCCCCCTGAACACGAGAAGGGCCTGAGGACATCAGCCCCCCTTAGAGCAAGATTTGTAACGGATGAATAACAAATAATGATCTCGATATTGCAAGCTGTGGCGAAAATGCACAACAATTTCACTTAGCAGTTCATGATTGAAGACTGGACCCTGTTCTAGACTCTTTGGAGAAACCACGGAACAGAAGAGATGGAAATCTCTGCCCTCAATTCAACTATATTTGAGTTGTGGGACAAAGACAAGGAGAAAGACAATCAACAAATAATCTAAAATCCTAAGATGACAACTGTAAGGAAGAAAATAAACGCATCAGGTAAGGTGGCAGAGGGATCTTTGCGTGTACACATGGTTAAGGCACTCGGTGGTTAACCAAAAGTTTGGAGGTTCAAATCCACCCAGAGGTACCTCAAAAGGCATGCCTGCTGATCTACTTGTTACAAATTAGTCATGACAAATCAGACAGAGCACCGTGCTGCTCTGACACACGGAGGATTGCCATGCATGGGAATAGACTGTGGCATGTGGTTTTAAGGTCGATGGGCATGCATGTTACAATAGGTCACAACCTCCCCATGGTGGGACCTTAAGAATGCCATTGACTGGGTACTAAAGAGTACTATGGATGCGGGGTGACGATCGACTCCATGGTCGAATTATAGCAGCTGAGTGAGATGGGAAGCGGAGACACGCTGGAGGCCATTGTACTTGCCCTAAAAGACCATGAAGTCTGGATGCAGCCATGACAGGGAATGACAATGTAAAAGCAGACAGAGAGACAGAGAAGGGGAGAAAGCAGGACAACAGGGCCAAAACAGGAGAAAGAGAAATCAAGCCCTCCATGTCTGGGCTTCTCCTGCTTCTAGTGGGAGCCTGGATGACTGTGCGAGGGAGGTGACTTTTCACCCAAACATGAAATCGAGATATAGGTAGGTTCTAGAAACGTGTGCTAGCTATCAAGTTTTGCAGTCCTGCTAACAGGAGTCGTGCTGAGACTGGTGTTGGATCAGCTCATCAGAGTGATGGAAAGAGCAGCACAGGACAAATGTAAAGAAGGGCTGGAGCAGCACAGAACACTGCGACAGCCTGGGAATACTGGACAGGGCGTTTAAACACGTTTGGGACGTGCTTCATCCCAGTTCATTTTAGCAAGACTCTAGAACAGGGCTGGGGAACCTCGTGTCTGCCAAGGGCCTGCCTAGTGTTTGAGCCTCCAGCATAGAACAATGGTGAGGGTGGCACAGGACCAGCCGGCGCTTGGCTTTGCTGTGCTTACATTGCTACCCACTGGAACCAACCCAATGGCGCCCAACAACAACAACACCCAGCCCTGATCAAGAAGAATCATCCGGGGATCTTGCTAAAATATAGCTTCTGATTCAACACAGCTGGGATGGAACCGCCAATTCCCAGCAAGAGATCAAAGTAGACTGAACCAATTGGAAGCCCCGATCTTCATCTCCCAGGCCCAGTCCACACTCATCAAGTTCATGGCCGGTGCATAGTGACCATCTAGGGCAGACCAGAACTGCTCCCTGGGGTTTCAGAGACTGTAAATCTTCACAGGAGCAGACGGCCTCAGCTTTCTCTTCAGGCGACTGACGGAATCCAGCTACAGCCCAATGTATAACTCCATACATGCCCAGGGGTCCTTGGTTTGAAACCAGTGTTTCTTAAACATTGCATCAATTAGAATTATCTGGGAAGATGTAAGCATTCCAATCACATACTGATCAAGTCAGAATTTCTGGAGCCAGATGCAAGAATTTGTCCTTTTAGAAAGTTTCTTTTTTCACGTTGTACATTCCAAATTATTGCAATGTTCCACCAAGGCCGAATACCCGCGTCTAGAGGCCTTGAGAGTAATAGGTCCAGAGAGAGGAAAACAGACGACGGCCTGATACAGATCCTGTGATTGCGAACTAGGACCGCATTGATGGTCTGGTATAGAAAGGATTGCTACGCACAGATCAATCCTCACACCCATCCGCAGTAGCATTGGGCAGGCTTTGTGGAAATGTAGACTACCAGCACCCCCCAGATTTAATCAGACTCTTCATTAAAGCAAGATTCTCGGTTTTTACATGATGATGCTTAGACCCCAGTGCAGTCCATGGGTGCCCCAGAATTAGTCACTGTGCACAGCTTCCCACTGATTTTAATGGTGAGTCAGGCTTGAGAGCCATTAAGCTAGAACAGGGAGTGCTTCACAGACTGTAATGTGGACCCTGGTCACAAAGATCTTGTTTAAATGCAAATTCTCATTTAGTAGGTAAGACAGTTAAAGTTTATTTTGCCAACTTGGCCAATTAATACATGTGGAGTTAATTGAAAGGCAGAGGGATAAATGGCCCAGTAGGCCTAGCCTTTCTAGTTCTCGGGTCTCTTGCTTTCTGAGCAGGGAGCCTTAGTCAGCTCCTTGCTTCAATGGGCAAAGCTCACGTCCTGCAAGACATCCCCAAGGAGAAGCCACATGGACCTACCCCGATGCAGCTCTGGGTGCTGGAGCAGCCGTGTTGGAGACCCCTGCCAGCGCTGAGATGCTTACACATTCACTGACTGATCACTCAGTTAGTGTATGTTTTGTGAGATGGAGGAGGACTTTGTGGATTGGTGTCAGACATATGGGTTAATGTTGGACTTGTGGGTTTGGGCAGCACTGGGTTGGGATGTTTTCTTGATGTGCACTTACCCTTTATATAAAACTCTCTCTTATACATGAGTTTTTGTGGATTTGTTTCTCTAAAGTACCCAGACTAGCACAATAGGTCTGAGGAAGACCTGAGATCCTGCCCCAGTAATAGTGCACACCCCACACTTTGAGTGACAGTGTGGTTTCTGGACAAGTGACAACAAATTAAAATCAATATCACTTGTGAAATTATTAGAAATCAAATTCACAGTCCCTCTTGCAGTTTCTTCAATCAAAAATTTGTGATTTGGAGTCCAGAAATTGGTTTTAACATGCAAAAGAGTGAATGAGTGATGATAGAGTGGCATATAATGAGGCTCATGATTGTTTTTCCTTTTTCTTTTAGAAATTGGTGGTAAAAGGAATAAGGATGCTTGCCGCTCAAGGAGAAGCGCCTCAATTGGGGGTGGAAGAAGTTGGGTCGCATTCCTGGGTGAGCTTTGTCAGCATCTCCATCATTCCCAGGGCCTTTGGCACATCCCCCACTTTCCCACATGAGAACCACTTTGCTGCCGTTACTCTCCTGAAAGTATTTTTGAGCCTAGGAAGTCCAGAGGAAAGCTAGAAAGTACAAAAACTAATGACACATTTTAATGGTAGTGTTGGTGGAGAACATTGACTATACCATGGACATTCAAAAGGAGGACCAAGTCAATCTTGGAGGAAGTTCCGCCAGGGGGCTCCTGAGGAGTGTGGTGGCAAGGCTTTGTCGTGCTTATTTAGACACCACAGCCCAAAGGACCAAACCCTGGGTAAGGACACAATGTGTGTTTGAAGGAGAGAGTCGGTGAAAAAACAGGAGACCCTCAATGGGATGGATTGGCATAACAACTTTAACAATGGGAACAAACCTGCTAACGATCATGAAGATATCTAAAATGGGTTCTGAAATCTTGCTGATTTCAAATCTTCGCAAGAAGTCTAAGCTCTAGGAGGCTGAGGGTGAGGTATCGCAAGTGTGGAACACTTGATAGCCTGACTGGAGTGAATCAAGTGCAATGAGGAGTACAGGCAGTCCTAGAAACGGGGAGTGGGGTGGGGGGGTGGGCAGAGCTCGTACAGGCGAGGAGGTCTAGGTGCCTGTTAGAGCTGCGTGCAGTGCCTGCTGTGGTGCGCAGGCGTTGAATGGACCTCAATAAGACATGGATGGGCTGATGTAATGAGAAAAGGAGGCCGATTCTGGGTCAGAAGTCACCATGAGGTCAATATCAGAGGGAAAAATATATTCAAGAAAACAGTAGAGGTGGTTGAAAAACTACCTCCTAATGCTAAAATTAGGAGATTGGTTCAAATGACTTGTAAAAATACTTTTAGCTCAAATATTTTATGATAACACTGGGTTTTTAGTAAACAAATGACTTCTTAGTTTTAGTTTGGAAATACTTCCTTTTATTGCGCATCTAAACTATAGCACGAAAGCATACCTCTTTGAGGGAAATTTTTATTTCATTCTAAATTTGGGAAAATTGATCAATGAAAAAGTTTGAATGACTACGAAGAGGCAGACCACTTTTTCACGTTGGGCAGTAGACCTACAACCTTTTTCATTAAAATGTTAAACTTCTGCAGCGTGTCCTTGTATGAAACATGACGTTTCTCAATTCTTCAAAACATTTTCTCCCCCATCTGTGATTGCTACCACCTACCTTTGTCTGTTCACATGACTTGATTCGGATGATGAATATCATTACAGGTCTGTGGGCATTCTTTTACCGGGACACTGAAACAACAGTGATGACAAAGAACAGGTTAAGGCATAATGGAGCTCCTTCTTGCATGGAATTACCCAAGACACAGAGTAATAGAATTGTCAAGTACTGAACTCAATCATTGTGAAACCTTGTTCATCATGATTACTTCTGAATACACCATCATGCAAAGGCATTTACTCGGAGCCTTCTTGGTTCACAGGCAGAAAGGTATCAAATGCACCCCTTTTACCACAGTGCCTCTGTCGACACAGACAAAACAGAGCGTCGAGCTAAGTGGCATCTGGAAAATTGGACCCAGGAGGTTAGCCAAATGGAAAACTGCTGCCCTTAAGATCCTTCTGATTTCTCTCTCTCACCCCACCACCACACGAGAGTTCTTTGGCTAATTAGCTGATGATTTCACTCATTCATTCATTCATTCATTTAGCAAAGGCTCATTGAGTTCTGCTTTCCCAGCTGCCGAGGATTTAAAACGGAAGATCCAGAAGGTTGAGTGAGCGATACTGAATCTTCATTTGGATTGAACAGATGGAGAATGCAACTTTAAACAAGTGATCGTAATGAAGTGATGAGGATTATCACAAGGCAAATGCGGGGTGTTATGAGAGTGTTGGAAAGGGATATTACCCAAGTTTTATGTAAAGAATTTCAAGTCAAAATGTTGTGCGAGATATTTATGAGGAACGAACCCGGTAAAATACTTGCAAAGGACTGATAGGTAGTCACCAGCCAGAGCCTGTTCAAGGTGCAGATGAAATTTCTTAAGTAGAGAGTGTATCTGCAGTGGCCCAGATGTGAGAGAGAGGAAGGCATATTTGAAGAAAACTGGAAGGAATTTGGTAATGCTGAAGCACAAAGTAGAACTTTGGGAAGTGTGAAGAATGAACCTAAAGGAAGAAGTGGGGGTTAGATCATGTAGAAGCTGTGCATCTCATTACAGTTTGGAATTGGTAGGATCAAAATTCTACTGAGAAAATTTCTTTGGCTACAGTGTGAAGAGTGGATAGAATCTGTCAAAAATTGGGGGGTGGGGGGAGGGCGTAAGTATCCAGTCATGAGGAAGAAGCAAAGCCGTCTGCTAAAATCAATGAGAACATGCAAACACAAGCAACAACTATTTTCCGATATTTGGCAATGTACAGTCCAGGGTTATAATGTAAGTGAGGGGAAAGGAATGAGGTGAGCCCTCCTGTCAGTCAGGCCTTTTATCTGGAGGTACTCACGGTCAGAATCGGTTCCTCCTCGTGGTGGCCGTGCAGGACAGGGTAGAACTGCCCTGGCGGCTTTCTGAGACGGTCATTCTTGATGGAATAGAAAGCAGCCTCGTTCTCCTGAAGCGCACCTGCAGGTGGTCTCACACTGCTGACCAGAGTGGCCAGTGGCAGAGTGCCCCATAGTGGGGTGGGCTGCGAACATCAAGGTCAGCAGTTGGAAACTAGAAGCCACTCGGAGAAAGACGAGGCTTTCTGCTCCCATTAAAAATCACAGTCCCTTCCTGCACCTTGACATCATCCCCTTTCACCTCACCACCACCGCTGTACACCACATCCCTCAAACCCTTTTTCTACCTACTATCCCTCCATTCTGGGTGTCCTATATGGAAACACAGAAAAACATATAACACAACTTTAAGAGGGTGATCGCCAATGACATAACGCTTCTGAGATACACTCTAATATGAACAAACAAAAAAAATACAGAAAATACAGATCAGGTCCAGCATCCATCAGAGGGGGCACCAACTAACAAAGTGTGAAGTGTTGAAATCAGATTTATGCCTTTGATCATCTATACTCATCTCTCCAATACACTGTTTAGTATCCACTTTCCTCCCATCCCTCAACTGTGGATAGAGGGAGTTCACCAGAGGCTTATTGCCTATGGAGTTTCCACAAATGAATCCCACTAACATCCACAGCCTTCTGCAAACCAGATTCTCACAATTTAGGCTCTGATACTAATCCCTCCTTTGACTTTGGGTTAAAAGAATGTTTGGAAACTGCTTGGGGTAATTCTGCTTGATGTGATTGAATTATGGAATGATGTGATCTATGCTTTAATTCTCAATTAATAATAAATCTTAAAGGGTTATTAAATTATTTAAAAATAAAAACGTATTCACAGCTTAAAAAAAAAACCCAAAGAAATATGGTCTCTGAAACCACAGAAGCAGTTTTACATTGTCCTGCAGGATTACCATGAGTCCGTGAGTTTTTGTTTGGGATTTGAAGATAATTTCAAGTCTTGGGTATAAAAATCAAAAACCTAAGTAGAGTTCAATAATCTTGCAGAATTGAGGAGAGAGACGTCTAAATTCTGGGAGCTTGAGTTTATCTAGAATTTTGTGAAAGGCTCTCGGTGGACTCTGGAAGAAGTTCCTTGGCTCTTTTCAGCGTCTATTCTTTGACAATCTTGTGTCTTGGTGCCTCTCTTCTCCCTATCTTTACTTGCTTGCTTAATCTGCTTTTATATCGCAGAATAGGTGGCACAGTGGATTATATCTTGGGCTGCTAATGGCAAGGTCAGCAGTTCAAAACCACTAACTGCTCCGTGTGAGAATCATGAGGCTTTCTATTTCCGGAAAGAGTTACAACCTCAGAAACCTATTCTCTCATCTAGGGTCGCTGTGAATCTAAATCAACTCGATAACAGTAAGTTTTGTTTTGTTTTTGGAGACGAATACTGTCTGGTGAACATAACACAGAAAATCCATTCCAAACCCTCCTATAACCACAGGTGTGGGGATTAGAATTCTTTTGAAGAGGACAGAGTTCTATCTACAACACTCATCAAACCCAAGGCAAGATAAACACACACAAATTCTTCCGAGACACATAATCATCAAATTCCTGAAAAAACAGGGATGAAGAAAATATTTAAAGCTTCCAGAGTGCCCTGATCTTTTACATAAAAGTAATGAAGGCTGGGTACCCCAGACTTCTCATCAGAAACATGCAGCCAGAAGGCAATGGAGTGATTCTTTAAAGGGCTGAAAGAAAGGACTATCTACCTAGAACTCTATACCTAACCAAACACATCCTATACAAACTGAGGCAAAGTAAAAGTACCTTTTTAGACACACAGTAGCTAAGATCATTTATTGCCAAAAGATTTGTACTATAAGAAAATGTAGAAGAAGCTTTTTCAGGCAGAAGAAAATTATACTAGATAGAAGCGTGGATCCATATGAAGAAATAAAAAGAACGGATATACCAATGCCTAGACAAGTATAAATAGCTCTCCTTCATTCTTCAGCTTCTTTAAAAGATACCCATTTGAAGAGAAAATAATAACCATGTGCTGCAAGAACCATAGCATGTTTTGAAGTAAGATGTATTACATAATAGCTTAAATGACAGAAGGAATGAAATGGATGCATACAGTTGCAAAAATTACATCATGCTTGAAGTATGATCATATTATCTAATGATATATTGTAATAAGTTAAACATTCGTGTTTTGTCCACACCCTGATACTGGGAATGTGCTGTCCAGGAATTTGTGATTGTGTTCTCACTGTTCCATATAGATTAAATAAGTATTCTATTTAGAATCGTCTTACAAACATTCCACATTATATTTGCCAGAAAGAGGACAATTGGCTATCTAGGCTGGAAAATGTAGGTGGAAACTTTATGATAAATATTGGAATATCACAGATTCATTTTATTTGGAGAATTTACCCATTGCTATCTAGTCAGTTTTCGCTCCCAGTGACCAT